GTAGAGGGGGGGGAGGGGCGGGCCCCAGGCTTTTCGCGGGGGGGGGGGAAGGAAGGGGGGAGGGTGGACTGCACTGTGGAGGGCAGCTGTGGCACTGGGAGGGGGCTGCAGCCACCCCAAGATTTTCAATAGCCCACCGACACCCCCCCCTGCTCCCCAGCACCGCTGCCACCCACCCAGAGCACAGCACAAACCGCCCCCCCAACCAGGAAAAGCCTGGCGCTGTTCTGGCCACAGCCTACAGTGGCAGCCCATCCTACCTTACACAGATCTGGGGGCACATGCCCCCCCGTCCCATGTCCTCCTGGGATGTGCGCAGTGGTGGGAGCCACTACCCCTCCCTGCACCCCCCGAACGAACCGTGGCTCTGTCCCATGCCCCACCCTGACTGTGCAGGACCTGGCAGGGCGGGTGTGGGGTCCCGGAGGCTTTGTCCCCTCCAGCCTGGTGGTTCAGCCAAGACTGGCTCTGCTCCGGCCCCTGGCTGGGGTTCCAAGGCAGTTTGGGGCCAGTGCCAGGGTGGGGAGACAACTGGGGCCGCGTTGGGGCTGGGGGCGACAGATTTCTCGGTGCAGGGGCTGCTGGGAAACAACCCTGGGCATGGGGGAAGGGATGGGTACAGCAGGCCCCAGCCTTAGCCCAGTCCTGGGCCTGGCTTGGCTTGGCTTCCTCCCTATCCCTGCTAGGTCCCAGGCCTAGGCCCCACATCCTCCACCCCTTTTTCCTCCCCACAGCTGGCTGGGCAGTGGGGGGAGGTGCTGATTTCAGCCCCCCCCCCCCAGCTAGAAGGGGGTACAGTCCAGAAGGGGTACACTCCTTAAAAAAGGCTGAAAACCCCCGCTCTAACTGATCTGCTCTTTTTGTCTGTCCACACTAACCGAAACCATTGCAACTTTGAATGTGTTTCATTTGATACTCCATATAGAGGTCCTCCAAGTTTTCAGCAGGGCACCAGACAAAACAGTTACATTGCTTCACATGACACAGGCTTGTGAGTGGTAGGTCTCTCCTCTACAATTGAAAAATTGTTTAGTGTTGCCTGTCTACAGTCTGACCATTTCAATGGGCATTAAGACATAAAGGGGAAACTGGCATGAATTTTCCATAGGTAACTTCCCTATAAGTGTATGAGATTTAACAACTAACTTGTTTTTTCTCTCCTACTGTCTCCAGGCAGTGCAAGTAACCGATCCAGTACTCGAAGCGTCATGAGTGGCAGTAGTGGAATGGAAGGTGACAGCGAGGTATGCTTTCAGCTCTGTTGTACACTGTCTGTTTGCCTTCAGTGTGCATTTGGGTCTGATCTTGTATTGCACTATTTAAAAAAAATTCTACTAACAAAACTTACAAAATTACAAAGCAGCTTTAGATCTTCATTAAAACAAAGTTACCCACTTCTGCTGTAAAAGGTAGAAGAAACAAACTAACATGAAATGTGGTTGCTATGGGCCTCTGTGCATCCTCGTGAATGTAACCCTCTCCACATCTGTTCTTACCTCTCGCTTGGTTCATATCTGTAGTCTAATTTGAAAGCTCTTTGAGGCAGGGATCTTTCCTGAGCACCTGTTCCACAAAGCACCTAGCATGCCTTATAGAATAATAGAGCTGAAGAGGACTTCACAGGTCATAGGCACAATGCTCCTTGTAGAACATATATAAATATATTCTCCGTTACATTATAAGTGGATTTTCACATGCTTATTTGTCCAGTCCCAAAGTTTCCTTCCAAGGAAGGTGATATACCTGTGTGGGGAGTGGACTCTTGAAGGAACATAGGACTGGAAGGGGTCCCCTAGGCTTTTGAGTCCAGTCTCTTGTATTTGCAGACAACCATTAACCAAAGAGCTTGAAAAATCTTCCATGCCAAAACCTCACATGCCACATCTGGAAGGCACAAAACCAGAAATGCTAAGAACACACGGCACCAGTAAAACCAGGGGAAATGAAGGCTCTGCCGGTGCTTTGACTGCATTGACAAAAGTAACTGGAATATTGCCTATTGGAAGGATCCCGGGAAACTGATTATTGCCCATACTATCAAGAAAGGTGAAAACCTCCACAGCCCTTGACAATCTGACCTATGGAAAAATGGCTTCCCAAAGCTGGCATCTGGTTTGATCCTGAGCAGAAGGGCAACACTCTAACTAGGAACCTCTGAGGCTGCTAGCTAGGATGAGATCTAACAGTGGAGTAACTAGGGCAGTGTGAACAGGACAACTGCCCCAGGCACTGATTGGGAGTGGGGGGAAGGGAGAATCAAAAATTGTGATCACAATAGCAACTGGAAGTCGCTGCTGAACCTGAGCCCTGGATGTCCAGCAGTATCCCTACCCTGCTGAGATCTAAGATGCTAGCATGTTGTGAATGATGTGGATAAACTTAGTTCTTTTGCCCTTTCCTTTTCTTTTGTGTAGGACAATGAAATCCCAGAATCCAAGAGAAGCCACAGTCCAGGAGCCCCACAGCTGGAGAGGTTACCTCTCACTCTGCCTGAAAGGCCTCCAAGAGTGCCTCCCCGAGGTGCAAGCAGGTAATGCATATGACTGAGCTTGATCACAAGCTTCCAATGGTATCCATAGCATGATGTGAACAGCACGGAAAACTCCATGTGTAATGCATCCTTTCAGAGGAGTTGTGAGGCTGTTTGCAGGAAGCAAATGTTGCTAATAAATTGTGGAATTCATTTGCTCCTCCATAATACTTAGAATTGGTTTCCAAGTTAGTAATCTGACTGCAGCAATCCTTTTAGTGTGTGAGCCAAACTAATAAGTGCTGTGTTCCTGGAACATAACATGTTCCATCTTGAATTAGACTGATCCAACTAATCTAGTATCTTTCCTCTTAATACCTGATCCTTTTGAAAAGAACTCATCGTAGGCAGAAGGAATTCCCTCCAGTGGGTGAGCTATCTTTATACTCTGAGCAAGACTTGTTTTGTTTCGTCTCATCTCAGCACAAAAGTTGCACTACTTTGACTAAAGGGTTGCTTTTAACAATGTTTAGATAAGCTGTTACAAACTTGATTTAAAAACAACCCTTTAATTAAACCAGCACACATCTGTGTAGTCCATCTTGGGGATCCTACCTTGCATAACTGCAGAGATTAATGATATTTTTCAGCTGTTACAGTAATCCAGATACAATTGCTGACCATCCTCAGAAGCAGGGAATTCTACATGTTAGCTCAGCTATTGCACTAGTAAGCCAGAACCCTTTTGAAACTGCAGGGGCCAATTATATCCCTCTTGTCTTTTTCATTCCAAGATCTTCAGAAGAAAGATGCTATATAAGTTTATCATTTTACCCTAACAAAGTACTCTACAGACGGTAAGCAGCCCCCAACCCTCCTGGCAGACAGGCAGCTACTGTATTATTGCAACTATGTAAAGATGGAGAAGGAACAGGGAACAAATGACTTGGCCAGTATTATACCAGACTCCTGGGTTCTGTTCCTAGTTGTCCTGCTGCTGCCAGTCCTAGCTAATCACTAGCATGCAATACATATGTTAGATATCACAATGTAGATTGTTCTTATATTAGATATTAAAGATTATTTGCTATTCTAGAATTCTGTTCCCTGGTTTCTGATATGCTCCTATTATGTGTCTTGTTGCAGGCCTGTAAGCAGTGAAAGCCTTCTTCCTCCACCTGTGCCCCCAAGAGGTCGCTGAATCTCAATGTATTTTGGAATCTGGGATTTTCTAGAGCATGTATAAGTGTGTGGGGAGGGAGGGGGGTGATATTTTTGGGTCTTTTACAATTATTTATAGGTGGAAGTAAGGTTATTTTCTTCCCTCAAGTATCTTTTTTTCACTGAGATATCTCTCAGCCTCTGGTGCCTTTTTTCTTGAAGGCTGTTTGTACTTCTGAATTTTAAGGAAAAGCCATCTGAATTGACAAGGAGAATTCTGATGAGCTCTCTGACAGCTCTGAATCAAGATAAGGAGCTAATCCTCCCCAGTCAAGAGCATCCCAGCAAACATCCCTTTGGTTATTCTAATAAGAATTGTTTTAAAAAAAGGATTTAATGTTCTTTTGCAAAAAGTTCTTTGAGACTTTATTTGAGGACTACTCATTACAGGCTTCACAAAACGAGTATACCAATGAATATGCTATAACTTGGACACTGGGTTCATTTGCATCAAATCCCAGGTGGTTTAGGATTTCTCTTCAAGAAGGAATCGCTAGACTGGTTTTTGCGAAAGGACTCTGAAGACTACTTTATGCAAGCAAATGTTCTTGTGTACATTATTTTAATCTAATTGTCTCTTCCCCTTTGTCCCTGGATGGGATTTTTTGTTTGCAAGGTTCCGTGTATGCTGCTTTTGGGAATGCAAAACCCCCTGACAGTGACAGATGGATTTGCTCTTGGGCGCAAAGCAGCAGCTTAGGAGTCTTCTGGGGATTTTGTTACTTTAAACAAGTGGTTCTCAACCTTTTTAGATTCAAGACACCCTTTGTTAGACTCAAGGTACCCCTTTGAAATTGCAAGCTCTTAGTTTTGACTTGTTTTTTGATTACAAAAAAATAATAGAGCAATTCTTCTGTAGCAAAGATCTCTGAAAGACTACAAATTGGAATGCTTTTAAAACTATGGATTCCTATATGAAATCTGTGGGCTTATTTTATGAATCATATGTGCATGCCTGATCTCAAGGCACAATGGCACGCAGGTTGGGAATCACTGCTTTACATCTAAGAAGCTGACTTTTTGCATGAGGGAAAAGAATATGCAATGCTCCTCTACCTTTCTTTCTCCCCTGTGCACTTTGGATTATCCTCACTAGACATCCTGAGGCTCTTTGCTTAGGCTTTATCACAGCTGATCTCCTCCTAAATGCATCCCCCTTACCAGTATCAGCTGTGTGTTTAATTCTTGCTTTTTGTCTGGGGTATGCCTTCCCTAAGCATCCTTTCTGGCAAGGTTAATCTGCAGTAGCAGCATCTCACCTGTTCAGCCTGAGGGTGTAAAACTTTCACAAAGGGCTTCTCTGTTCTGCACCCCTCCTACCATGCCAATGGCACACAAAGCAGAAACCACATGAGCCCTTGTTGCAGGGGACAGAGAAGCTGTCTTTGAGACCTTCCTTAATTCTGCCCTGGCCCACAGCTGAGGAAAGAACAATGGGCTCTAGCTGTCCCTGGGTGATGTGGCCCATTGGGTGTGATCCACAGCTGACACAGGTTAGAGCTGCCTGTGGCTGCTTCAGCCCAGTGTTAGAGAATTTTTTGATTTTCAGCTTCTCTCCCTCCTCCCTCCCCCCTGAGTCTTTGTGGAGGAGAGAAGCTATTCCTTACCCTGGGCTCAGGAGGAGCTGATCTAATGCCTGTGCTGCTCTTTTGGGCTCCCACAACCCAACAGATAGGCAAACAGGATAAGAGTTGCAGTTCTGCCTCTCCTGCAATGCAGTATGTGGCCACTTGAGGGACCTGCTGAAGAGCTGGAGCAAAGAAGGAGCAATAGCTGTGCTCTATTTCTAGCTCACGTCTGGGCTGCTGTGGAGGGTGGCATTAAAGGTACTTCACTGTTTACCTCACTTTTCTTCAGGGCATGGGTGGGGATGGTGATCAGGAAATGCAGCTAAGTTCTCATTCGGATACAAACTCCCTTCTCAATGCAGGATTTTCCTTATAAGCCACAGGCTGCACAATCCTTTACATGTACGTACTGTCCCGTGTCCAGTGACCAGGTGTGACTCTAAACACTACACACTCTGAATAGCAGTTTGCAGCATCTTGCTCTCTGGTCCTTTGAATGGGAGTGGAGGGGCAGTGACTACAGACAGCTACAGTGGTCAAGTCCCTGCCACTATTCTAGTGAACAGAAAAAGGTCTTTTTGCTTATTGATGAGGAAATTGATACCATGGGTGAATGAAGGAGAATGGATTAAGAAAATAAAACTGAAGAAGTTAATCCAAGGGCCTGATGGCCCTTATTCAGCCCGTGCTACTGCTGTTTTTTGTATATAGCTCCTTGACACTGTGCTCTGATGTTGTCCTAACCTGCAAGCTATCCAGCAACACCCTGGCTTCCCTGGTTTGCCCTGTGTGCTGCTCCTAAACTGAAATTAGCGATGCAGCATTACAGGAATTAAACTGCTTTCGCATCTTTTCCAGGCACCAAGGAGGGTAGGGAAGGAGCTAAAGGGTGTGGTGGAGATTACAAAGAAGGCAGAAAGTAAAAAGCAAAATGTGAAAGGTGCCATGAAATTGCCAGCTCTGAGGAAAGATTATGGCAAGGCAGTGAGGCAATGGGACTTTAGTTTAGGCACTGCTTCAACTCAAAGTCATGAGGGATCTCACTGTGGGCAACCCTCAGGAGACTGTCAAACATGATTTCTCTAACGGGTTCATCTGAACTCAACTAGAGAAAGCATTTCCAAACAATCTTAGCATTGCCACCTGTTGGACTGTCATTGCAACAACTGAATTGCAAATGCTGAGTTTAGGAGTGAGATGAGCTATGCTTGTTCAAGCTGCTTAAGTTAATAATAGCCCTTAAATCTCTGCTTAGAGTCTCCTTCTCTTTGAAGCTCAGAACTTCCCTATGTTGAAGTGTGAATCATAAATCCCACCCACCACAGCAGATGGGTTTGCAGACAGACTTAAGGACTGAGTGAGGCCAAATTTTCCTTCCCCTCATAGGTGGTGGGCCATCCAGTTTAGAATTGACATATGCTAGCTGGCCAGTGTGAGAGAGCATGTGCCACTTCTCCCTCAGCTGTATCTTTCTCCAGCTCTCTATTTATTTTTAAGTATGAGACAGTTGGAGCAATTTTTGACCAACATTTTCCCTTGTGGGACCAGTCCTGCCTCCACTAAAATCAGTGGATAATTTTGCCATGGACTCAATGAAAGTAGAGTCATTCCCTATGGAAAATGCATCATGAAACTGTTTGAATCAAAGCTTAGTTTGTTACAACAATGAAGAAAATAAATTTGACATGTGAGGCTGTGAGGAGAAAACATTTTATGGATTCTGCAGGCTGTGCCTAATGGAGAAAGTAAACCTATGTTAAAGTTCATCAATCCATATGAGAAAAGACATGAAGGAATACTTGTGTTCCTCTGACTTATGATAGCTCTGTGTGAACTTATTTATTTTTGGCATTGTGCAATATTTGATATGAGAAGAATGCAATGTTTGCTGTTTGTCTTTTGGGAAATGTAAATGTCTTATGAAAATTGCTTTTGTATTCCTTTCTTTTAAAGATTGTTTGATCAATGGGTGCTTAATGCTGTGTCTGCTTTTTTTTACTTCAGGCGTTTAAGTTGTTTGGGATATTTATAAATACACATGCCAGTTTGGTAGAATAAAGTTGCAGTAACTGACAGGGTAAACTCACCAGTCCCTTCAGTTTGGATAAAACTTTATTCAGGTTTTCAAAAGCATATGCACATCAAATAGGAAATGATTTTTTGCAGTTGGGAGTCACATGGCACATATGTAACAATGCTGTGTATATGCATTATACATAGGTTGGCACGTGTGGATGCCACAAATTGAAGTGTGGACAGACTAATTTACCCTGGATAATTTATATTGGATTTGTGTAGTGATGCATATTACACTAAGACAAGGAAAAGATAAACTACAGCTGTCCCAGGATAGGAAACAGTATATTACAGCAGAGGTTCTCAGCCACTGGGCTGTAGCAGATTGGCTGCCGGGTTGTGGCACAAGCCCTCTGCTCAGACCCTCATCTGTCCACCTGGGCAAGCAGCTTTCAGGGTTAAAACTGAAATTCCAGTGTTAAAGCTGCATGGCAGGGCAACCCTGGGAGGGAGGCAGCTGGCTCTGCGTGCCCCATCCTGCTCCTGCCAGGCCGTGGTATAAAAAAGGTTGGGAACCACTGTATTACACTGCCTTACCCTTAGGTGTCAATGGGGCCAGGAACAGCCTGCAGCAAATGTCAACCCCCCCTCATCCCACTCTATGGTAGCAGACAGAAGACCCCTACATTGGTTTCACTTGGAGGGGTAGAGTTGTCTCTCTCATTCTTTTGAGGAGTGGCTGTCCACTAGACTCTGCAAAATTACCCTGACTTAGGGATTTGAATCTGAAGTCCACCATGGTAAATATTTCATCCATCCACACCTTCCCTCTTGAAAAGTTGGACACAACTTTCAGCACTATTCTGCAGCACTAAGCCAAACAATACTCCTATAAGCTAACATGTACAAAATCACTTTGCTAATAGATATGGTCTTTTAAAACTGCGCTTCCCTGAAGCAGCAAATAATGCTGCATTTTATGTATGCTTAATACACTCTTTCTACATTTCAGTCAACTTGAATTGTCATTTTAAGTTGGTTTTACTTTCCAATTCTCATATGCTTAGCCAGTGCTACTGTTTAGATTAAGGATAGGATGGGCAAAATTGATATCCATACTCAAAATATCCTGGTAACATTTGATGGGTTAAGTTTACTTTTACTGAAAACACTGGGCATTTGCTACTTGGCAGTATCGCTAATGGCTGATGTGCATTTGAGTGCTGTATTAGAAGGAAGGAAACCCTCTTGCTCCTGCCAGTGTTTGTTCCTGAAACTGTTCCAGTTTGGCTTCCATGTAGCTCTTCTGATGCACCTTGACTAACTTCTGTTTGCCAATCTATTCTGTTCTAGGACTGGCCCCTCACGTATGATTTTGTTCTAGAACGCTAACTGCTATTGCAGTCCTCTGCTCTCCCTCAAGCACAGGCTGCAGGCAGCACCGTGTTGCACAGCACCACAAATGTGCACCGTGGCTTAACACAAAGTCAACCACTGTCACTGCCTGGACTATGTTGGGACGTTGTTGGTAACACAGCTCAGGGTCCAATTGACTGGACCAAATCCCTAGCATAGCGAAGACTTATCCTGCTATGGAATTTGATGCTGAATCAATCCTTGGTTGCAAAATTTGTTTCAGAATCTAAGGTCCATGCTAAGGAATTGTCAGAGTGCTGAATGTGTTACTTCAGGACCAGAGTGCCCGAGGCAGGCACCTGTACCATGCAGTATTTTTTATTAATCTCCTACAATTGCATTTTAGTTGTGATGTGTGAAAGAGAGTTATATTATAGCTGGTACAATGGCTATTTTATGTTTGTGAGCATCAGACTGGAAAAGCTGAACAAAGATCAGAGTATGTTCGCTTTCACACGTACCTCCCTCCACTACCACTGGAGGAGCTGGGGGAAGCTATAGTTTAACTGAATTACAGAGATTTTAGTAAAAGCTCTGTCAATGCTGTATACACAATATTGAGAACTTGTAATCCTTTCACCAGATTTTTGCACAGCTGGCTGTGTCTTTCCTTTGAGCTCAACTGTTCCTTCAGTTTCCTTGCTGCCCTGACTGTGTGATGGTAGCAGTTACACCTTACATTTCAGGGATTCTTGTTGGAAATAAATTATTGGTGTGATGGCTTCCAGTGCTTCTGACTAGTATGTAAAAAGCTTTTTAGCGGCCAATTTAAACTATTCAGTTTAATTTCACAACAGGCACCATTCTAACAACAAAAAAGTTTTAGCTTCACAGTCCCTTTAAAAATAAAATACAGGCTTAAGTGGTAACAAATGGAGATATTGGCAAGACTCCTTCAGAGGTCTCTGTATTCCATTTGCAAAGTGGGTGTTCATACTCAGGCAAGGTTCTTT